ACGACTACACTTCGTAACCAGCTTGTACACCCTAAGGATAGGGTTGGCTATTTAAAAAAGAAGGAAGTCGTCTACAAGATACCATGCAACACCTGTAATGCAGTTTACTGTAGTCAAACTGGGAAATCAGCCTATGCGCGAATACACGAACATCAGTTGGCCGTAAAAAGGCGCGACCACTTGTCACAAGTTGCCATGCATACGTTGGAAACGGGACACAAAATCGCCTGGGGCAGGACTCGCATTGTAGGTGTCTGCTCATTCAAAAATGGCCGTGAATTTGTAGAGGCCATCCATTCTGATAGCGCATGCATCAATCGACACGTAGAATTGGATACGGTGTATAACAGCCTCAAAGAAAATTGGAAAAGGCGTTAGCCAATCAGAACATTACACCAGCAGGAGTGACAAGGCAAAATCGACTTTTTCGGCGTGTATAAATGTTAACTGTTTTGCACACTTACTTCACGTCTGAAGACGACTTGGGGAACCAAGATCGAAAACTTACAATAAAACTTGTTTATCTTTCGCATTATGATTCTTGGGATGCCTGTTTTCAAATTCATATGTATATATATATAAATATATATATCTATATGCAAAATGACAGTAACGACAAAGACAAGGGAGACTGGAATGGCCATTTCTGGCTCATTAGCCGTCGACAGCCAGTCATGCCCAGCCCCGAAGTGTGGCACACCAGAGGCTCGAACTCGCGACCTGTTTGTTTATTAAATTTAACGGTGGATTTCATTCATATTGTTTACTTTACAAGCCGCATTTGTAAATGTAGTGACAGGACGTTTTATAAACGGTCATTTCACGGCCTGGTATTTACTCAACATATCCCTGTGTGAAGTGCCCATGCATTTTGGCTTTCTGCTGACAATTACTGCAGAGCTAAAAAATGTAAGATATTCGGGCTCAATTATTATCGTCTTTTGCACAAGTTGAAAGAAATACACAAAATGAGTAGACAAAACAATTTCGCATACTCCATGATAATATACAATTGACTGGATTTAAGTGTTTATTAGAACACGAAAATGTGAAACTGATCAGAAAATTTGCTATTCAGGGAGCATTCAGCAGACTCATTTAAATTACATCTAGATGCCAGAGTTGCGATATTCATATCTGCCTGCAATCGAATGCGTATATCAAAGGCTGATTTGCAAACACTCCTTTTCCTCAGGGCAATTGCTCAAATAAACTGCTTATTGCATAGGGTTGCGTAGACTACTGAGTGTTGGGCTTATATTCGATGGACATGTTATTTAAAAATTGGAAGATAGACAGGGTGGCCAGTGCTGGCAGTTTTCTGTTTATACTAGCTGGCGCATTCTCTGCTTATAACTCCCTCTCCTCTTCATCCGGTTCAACCAGTCCGACATTTGCCAAGACAGCGGTATTCTCTCAACAACACCTTCCTTAATTGATTTCCATAGCGAACGCACGAACACCCCCCCGCCCTTATTACTGCTCTCACCCTGCTCCGCAGAATCCACTGCATGCTACCGCCCAGTTGAGAGGACCTACTTCTCTGGAACAACAAAATTGTTTAGACTCTGCTTCAAAGGGTTACACCGCTGAGAGGTTATGGTCTCACCTTTCGAAAATGCCAACCACGCACTATGCACTTTTATGAAGGCACCATCTCCAAATTACTGCCACATCCCATTTTAACATACAGTGTCACCTCTATAATGTAATACAAAAGAAACTCATCATATCTTATTGTCGTTCTTTTTAATTAACCTGAATCAACTGCGTCTGGCTTCCTCTCCCCTAATTGTTCACTGAGCGCCAACAGACTACGTCTGCCAATTGTGCATCCTTGCATGCGACTCACTGGCTTGTGATGCAAGCATGTTGCTTTATTTGAAGAAGAAGAGTCGAGCACCGGGACAATTCGTTTATTATCCTGAGCTTTCAGACTCGTACAGGAGTCCGTCGTCAGAGGTAGTGGCAGAAGCAGGACGAGAATTGATTGAAGCCTGGGTCTCGGATAAGAACTCGGTCAATCGATTTATCGATCTGGCGCCGGCGTACACAGCCCTTCGTAGTCACCTCCAGTCGTGCGACGTCGGTCGATGATTTGGTCTACGTGCCTTATAACTGCCGCTTGTCCTGTTTCTGCCACTACCTCTGACGATGGACTCATGTACGTGTCTGAAAGCTCAGGATAACAAACGAATTGTTTCGGTGCTCGACTCTTCTTCTTCAAATATGCATACACCTGGAACTCGAAATTTCGCCTTCATTCATGTTGCTTTATTCTGTGCTCATCTACCTGCATACCCTCCATCTCTTAACCATAGATTTAAAATGTAGTTTTTGACGCGAGTAGACAGATGAGCAGGAGAATTAAGTGGAATATATTTGCCGAAATATGGTCATAATCATCTGCAGCACCTACAAAAATCTCCCTGTCGATGCGGCTCAAAATAAATCCTTTTTTGATTGTTTGATTCTCACATCCAGATGAGAGCATTAAACTTATATAGATGCACGTGTTCTAATATACACGTTTTGGAAGTTCGTAATGGAGTCGATGCCATTGTATACTGAGATGGCAGTGATGTGTACTCTGCCCCATTTCCTCCTCATTGCCATTTCGCATCGTTTTACGCAAAGCTTTGTCGGTTACTTGTTAATCCGACCACCACCATCCACCAACCTCCCGACAATCCATTGCACAAACATTCATCAGACATCATCAGACCTTATAAAGACCTAGTGATGCAGTTGGAAATTTCTACTTCTATCACCTTTGGAGCTGGCTGCTCTATCCAAATTCAATTCGTCAGATAGTCATTAACTGTCATAGATCGGGTTGATTTTTTAAACGTGAATTCGGATGATGTTGCGCTCGAGAATGGGTTTTTGCTTTTAGTGCTCTTGGTATTAAATTGTTTCCGCATATACACAAAATGCATATTGGCCACTTGCATTTGGCTATTGCCACATATATTTTTGGCAGTGTAAATGAAAGATAAGGACTCTATCAACATATTTATGAGCAAATACGATTCCGTTTTTCTCTCGAAATTGGAAATGGAAATGGATGGTGATCATATATGTTCCCAGCAGTTGCATTAAACTGCTCTTTGATTGCGGCATGTCAACTTGGCGACTAACAGAAATGCCTGAGTTCTCTAATTATGCATCTAGTTTTTGGTGAAGAAGAAGGGGAAGTTAGGAATTCCAACATATAAGATGGATGAAAACCGTGTTTCTCAAGGCTGCGTTCTTGGTCATACTATGTTCATTACATACATTAACGAATGGGTCAATGAACTAATTTGTGATGTCGCCATGTTCACTGATGAAGTGCAGATTTTGAGGCTCATCCGAAAGGTAATTTGCAGAAAAGCCTGGACTGGATTGCAAAATTATCTAGGGACTGGTTTTGACCTTTTAAAGTGATAATGTGCGTTTTCCTTATTCCTGCTTTTCTCAGAATGCCGCTTCGTTAATATAGTTTATGAACATTTTCTTCCTGTGTCTCTGGCGGTTGGCGTACAGTAGGGATCCATTTCATCCCTGAAAGATCTACTAGTTTTTGTCCTTAACCCATAAATTTCATTGCCTATTCTTGCGCACTTCTTAAGAGCGCTGAAAGCATTGCATTAATTACTATTCCACCACTAACCCTTACTTTCTCCTGTCGTTTCCAATTTTGTTCCATGGAGGCAGTCTCTCTTCTGGTTCATATTGTCCTAGAGATCTGCCCTAGGGCTGCCATGCGTATACATATGCAGCACTTGATTAGCACCGGTCTTTAATATCGTTCCACAACAACATATGTGTGCGTCTCCTGGCTGAATATTCTCTTGACCTTCATATTCTTTTGCCGTTCGAACAGAATTTGTTTAGTGTGGTTAGCGGAAATCGGCTGATCTTCGGTATGACTGCGGCCTCACTCGAGGTTCCATCGTTTGCTCTCCTTCCCTTCAACTTAACATCGATGACTTGAGATCGCCGAATGGCTGTCTAAAAGCAAAGTACGCTGTTGATTTTGTTGTTAGCTAATTTCCTGGCATTTTACCTAATAAGACATTATCATTATTATATCCTTCTTCATCAGATCAGTCAGATTCCTTCACATCGAAACGTGTTTCAGTTATATTTATAAACTGATAAATTACCTTTTTTATTAACGTTCCCTGCATGCGCCTCAATCCCTGATCCGCGAGTTCGTTGTTTAGTAAATTTTCTTTGGTAATTTCACATCGTCTTAATATCTCTCCCGCATGGTTTTAATAAAATATGTCTATTTTCAGACGTTTCAACGAAGTGCTCCTGTCCGCTGTCTGCGTCTCGTATGCATTGTGGGTGGCATATTAACGTATCCACACTTCACAACGCTCACACAGTCTCCTGACCGTATACAAACGCATAAACAGTCATTCCTTATATGCAATTAGTCTCTGGGTACGGGAAAGATAGCATGTTTTGCCGAAACTTTTGGGCTGACACTTTTACGATGTGACAGTCTCCTATCTCTCCCTCCCTCTCAGTCTCCTGTTCGCGCTTTTCATTTCTTCCTACACACCCCTCCCGCCCCATCTCTCCCCCGACGAGGCCCAATGATGTCATAGTCTGGAAGAGCCAAGCCTGTACTCCACCGATAAAATTATTTTACAAAAAATACCAAACAGATGAACCGACAGGCATACAATCTGATCATCCAAAATATATGGTATAACGGTGCTGCCGTTCCTAATGCGGACATCCAATGGATCCGCAAGTAACAATGCATAAGCGATTGCCTTGACAACGACCTACAACAGTAAATAAATATCGTCAACATTGTCAATAAAACTACATCCAGATGAGGAGTATGATTGCACAATCATAGATTGGAAACCTATATAATCTCTCAAGGCACTGATCATGCAGACGATAACACCACCGCCAGGCCCTGGTTTGGAGTCTTACGTTTAGTTTTAACCAAGCATCGCATGTAGGAATTTTGGCTATCGCATCAGGCAAACATGAAGTCAATGCTAGTCACAGCTCTGCTTGTTTCTGTTGCCTTTGTCGATGCTTCCAACAGTAGGCTTGTCAGTTAATTTTTGAATATAAACCTCTCGTAGTCATACATGAAGTGCGAATGAACAAAAACTTCGAAATTGTCATAAAAGTCGATGCCTCAAGTTCGGTACGTCAAGCAAGTATTCTATACACCGCTGAAGTTCATTAAAAATGTCAGCCAATACTCAAATTTGTGTTTCGCACAGTTCAGTAAATCGGACTCAGGATTCGTCGAAAGCGCGCTCGAGGAAAACTGCGGGGAGCTTAACATGTGTGTGCAATTACTACCACGTGAGTGTGCTTAAAAGTACCAGCATTCATATGGAGCTTATTTCATACTTAGGCGTTTTTGATCGAAAGTAGCGATTTGCACGTTTCCCTTCCATTTTATTTCGGTAAGGCATTATGTTCGACAAGTGAGTTCTCCAAGGTTCAATTTTCAGAATTAATGAGAGTGCTTTATATTGCCGTGTAACTCTGAGTCAAGCCACATCCTTCCTTAAATCCTTACTGGTCTTGACTGGTTAGATTGCAGTTTGCGAAGCACTCAAGCACCTTTTTATGTTTGTTTGGTTTAGTTTCTTCCAGTGGTAACTCGAATACTCGTTACGCAAATCATTACGCATACATTGATGTTTTCTGTCTTGAAAGGAAGACGCAGCCTTCAAATATATGGAGACCCCAAGACTGGCAATGCGAGGATTCTTCTCATTCCTAAAGATGCCGGCCTGCAGCACATCAGAGTAGCGATTGCGGGAAGTGACAAGTGCTATCCCCGTACATATCTCTATAATCGCTTTGCAATGCTTACGTCGCCATTTGTGTGCACTGAATATTTAAATTGCTCTGAATCATGCATTGCCATCGTTTGCATGCTTAACCTAATATGTTGCTCATTTCAATTGTGCATCTTCCATTGTCAGAGGTCTTTAGTACCTTATTTACTGAATCATTCTGCGCCACACGCGATTTTATGGACTCGCTGACACTAGTGTTTGACGAAGACATTAAGGTAAGTCAACATTGATTTGCATTGCATGCCGAGCTGCGTTACAATTTGTTTCAAATTTTCACGACATTTACAATATTTGATGCCATCGTGCCCCCAGCAGTTGCTGCGCATATATGTGTTTTTGTGAAACTTGATATTTGCACGAAATCTCCTTTGAATTCTGAAGGAAATAGACTATGAGAGCCCTATTTCAAAGTACCCAAAGAATACGGATGTTGATGGTGCGGAGGTGTTTATACCATACGGTTAGTTGAAATTGAATTTTGACAAACTGAGAAATGATAGATCGGGTCGGGAATTTAACTGTTATTTTAATGTTTCAGAGCAAATCAAAGGTCAGGATTATAAACTCTTGCGGATCACCGGTAAAATGGAGGAGACCAGTGTATCCTTCACACTGATAAACCCCGATGGAGTTGAGACAAACTACATTGTACAGCCAGTCAACAATTTACAGGTGCAGCGCAATCCAGTACGGTTCATCAGATGGGAGAAAAAATGCTTATGCGAGTAAAATGTTGGCGCAACCGAAGTTCAATTCTGATGCCCTTTTTCAATTCCCGTTGATTTTCCTGTAGCAGAAATTAACATTGATAAATTAATAAAGTCCTGCACTCTCTGGATCTCCGGCTTTTGAAATCAGCAAACGTATTGTTGTATTATTCATCTACCCATATATTATTCCGTCGAACCAAAGAACGCTTTGGAAGAGGTATTTTAGAGATGGAAGACTGGGGCGTGTCTGGGGTGGTTCTCCATTTCATCGTATTTGTCTTGTAGGAGTTATTCGATGATTCCAGCCTACAACCAAATTTCATCCTGTTGGCAGTTAATAAGAAAGTAGCTCGACCGTCAGGTCCAGTGGAATAGAATAAAACATGGACATTGCATCAAAATTTTCCATAACGTTATTTTAACAGATGCCTACCCCTTTTGATTTTTTCTAAGAGCTGTCTTGGCGAGCCGACAGTGGTGTTCGAATCAGCGATCAGCAATGTAAGACCTTGTCAGGGGACTTGTCCAACCACTACAGTAAAAATGATTAAAACTAGCTCCTTAATATTACCTTTTGGTAGATGGCCGGAATTTTCGAATCTAACGGATTTCACGGACGAGAGGGCGGACTTTCTGGTGGCACACCACGCATTCTCTCTAGAATCAATTTCTAGTCAAATTAACACCAAGACAAGCAAGGATGGGTGTACAAGGTTCATACGCATCATAAGCAAGATATATTGACACCCTCTGCACCGAAATCCACAAACTCATGCGTCAAAAATGTCTGCATTTTGAAAGAGCACACTAGGCCGACCAATCGGGCATTTTTACCCCTCACCTTATCGCAATGACAAGGATTTGTTGAAACTCATCAATTATGCCACTGTCGTTTGAAACCGAATCATGGAATCATCAATTTAAGATTAGTTACGTCATGCGGTGTCTCGCGGTATTCCATGCCCAACGTCCACTTATGCTCCGACAAGAAGAGGAGATTGATATATCTCTGATGAGGGAAGACACAGAACACAATACTGATTCAATCCACTGTTTCATGGCATACTGTGCTAGGTTAGTCATTTCATTGAGGATATTTGGACATTTGAGTTCGGTAAACACGTATGCCTTCCTTGATAATGACTCAGACTGTACGCTCATCAAAGAAGTTCTGTTAAAACAATAAGTTATCGATGACCAACCGGCAGTGCTGTCAGTATTTACTATCGTTTAGACCACGGAACTAAGCACCGTAGATATGCATTTTCAGATAGGCGCGATAGAAGGACTGGAGCGACCAGAAGTGAAAATATGTTCCGTCAGCCATCTTCTAAAGCAAAGCCAGTACATATGCAAACCTTTGATGTCGGTGAACCAAAGCTCTTGGATAACGCATACTCAGTGGAGAATAAAAGGTTATTGCAGATGTTTGAATTTAATGCACATTTAATTCAAGAACGCTTAAAGGTCACTTTACATTGAAAAAAAACAATTCCCAATCTGTCTGACAATGCGCCCGTTTGCTCATAGACAATTACATGCTTTGAAATCAGGTACTTAAACATCTGCGAGTACAAGGGGCTAAAAGATAAGGCTGTCTTCGTGAATGTAAACAAGGATTACACAGAACCTGTTGCATGGACGCCTACCGTGGTGTCAGGTCAACTTTGGCATTCACACCAACACTCCGTGGTAAATTCAATGAAACAAGGGAAGCTGAGGATAGTGCTCAACTTTGCCTCATTGTTCAATTACTGCAAAGACCAGACCACACTCACAGTTGCTGTGGCGTTTCCGCTCCATTCCAAGAGTTCTCGTACATAGCGGGGACAAATCTAGAAACTGTATTCCAACAGGTACGAGTTCCACAACCTCAACGTT